AAAAAAGGGGGAATTTGCTGGAAGCCGGTCCATCCTTGCTGCTTGACACAGTCGCTGCAGGAAAGAAACATCTGCACAGCATATGTTTCAAGGGACCTGGCATATATAGCATATTGTTCTTAATATGTTTGCTCTCTTTAGTGCCATGTGTTTTAACCAAGGTCACCTCTCCGAGAAAGGTTGTTTCCCCAGGTGGGGATTTTTCCCCGAGGTTAGGGAGGGGATACAACCCCTTAACTAAGTGCCAGGCGGGTAGTTAAGCTACATAATCTTTACTCCCTGGAATGGAGATAAGAAACGCCCTAACCTTTGTAATAGAAATTGACAGGATTAAAATCGGCTGGTATAAATATAGATGTAACAAGACAATAAACATCAGATCCTGATCAGTTCCTAACCAGAACTCCGACCAGAACTTTGGCTGGAGATCCTGGCTAGAGGTCCTGACTAGGCTGCTGATCAACTGAAGGCTGTCTCCGTGTCATTCCTTCTTCGCTGACTCCGTCCACACCTTTGGGGACCCCTGGACCTGCTGGGGTTGGACCCCAGCAATTTTACACCGCAGCTAATGTGCACACACTCAAACACAAAAGTACGTGTTTTATGAAAACAACACACATCCTTGGCTGGCATGGCTCAGTGGTTAGAGTGTAGGCCTGTGCACCAGAGGGTTGCAGGTTTGATTCCTGGTCTAGGGCACATACCTGGTTTGCAGGTTTGATCCCTGCCCCATTGGGGTGCTTGTAGAGGCAACCACATTGATGTGTATATCCATGTTTCTTTCTCTCTTTCTCCCCCCTCCCCACTCCTTTCCATTCTCTCTAAAAATCAATGGGAAAAAATATCCTCACTCCTCCAATGAGGATTTTAAAAAAATTTTTTTTTATTCTTATGTGCTATGCACTCACACTTTTATATTCTACTAGAGGTCCGGTGCACAAAATTCATGCACTGGGGAGGGGGGTATCCCTCAGCCAGCCTGCACCCCCTCTAATCTGGGACCCCTCGAGGGATGTCCAACAGCCTTGTGGGAATGGGCCTAAATGGGCAGTCGGACATCCCTCTCACAATCCTGGACTGCTGGCTCCCAACCGCTCGCCTGCCTGCCTACCTGAATGCTCCTAACTGCTTCTGCCTGCCAGCCTGATCACCCCGTAACTACTCCCTTGCCAGCCTGATGGAGGCCTAACTGTTCCTCTGCTGGGCCCATCGCCCCCAATGGCCCTCCCCTGCAGGCCTGGCCCCCCCCAACTACCCTCCCCTGCAGACCTGGTTGCCCCCAACTGCCCTCCCCTGCAGGCCTGGTCCCCCCAACTGTCCTCCCCTGCAGGCCTGGTCACCCCCAACTGCCCTCCCCTGCAGGCCTGGTCCCCCCAACTGTCCTCCCCTGCAGGCCTGGTCACCCCCAACTGCCCTCCCCTGCAGGCCCGGTCACCCCTAACTGCCCTCCCCTACCAGCCCAACCACCCTAACTGCCCTCCCCTGCAGGCCTGGTCCCCCCAACTGTCCTCCCCTGCAGGCCTGGTCACCCCCAACTGCCCTCCCCTGCAGGCCCGGTTGCCCCCAACAACCCTCCCCTGCAAGCCTGGTCCCTCCCAACTGCCCTCCCCTGCCGGCCATCTTGTGGCCACATGGGTGTGGTCATCTTGTGTGTTGGGGTGATGGTCAATTGCATACTGGTCATGACTAATTAGCATATCCAGACTAATTAGCATATTCCTCTCTTATTATATAGGATTATATGTCATTTTAAAATTCTGGTCAAGACCCATTACACAGATTTCATGAACCATTAACAGGTATGACATACAGGTTTAAAAAGTACTGTTCTGTAGCCATTGCTGCAGGAAGAGTTCCCGCAAAGCTGAATAGTCAAGATGCGTGACTTCACCAAGGACAAGACCGCAGCGTTCAAGGAGGCCTTCCAGCTTTTTGACCCAACCGGGAGTGGCAAGATTCTGCACAGCCAGTGAGGGGACATGATGAGGGCCCTGGGCCAGAACGCCACAATGCAGGGGTGCTCAAAGTCCTGGGGAACCTCAAGAGTGATGAGATGGATGCGAAGGTGTTGGGCTTTGAGCACTTCCTGCCCATGCTGCAGACGGTGGCCAAGAACAAGGACCAGGATACTTATGAGGAATATGTCCAAGGCCTTAGGGTGTTTGAAAGGAGGGGAACGGCACTGTCATCGGTGCTGAGATCCAACACATTCTGGTGAGAAGATGACAGAGGAAGATGTAGAGATGCCGATGGCAGGGCACGAGGATAGCAATGGTTGTATCAACGATGAAGAGCTCATTCGTATGGTGCCAAATGGCTGAAGACATGCCCAATGTGCCCAGAGCCCTGTGCCTGCTCCTGCATGAGACTGTGTAGTAGCCTGAGGCTGCCATCAGTGTTCACCAAATAATGTGCTCTGCGCCCTTAAAAAAAACACACCACCACTGCTCTGCAAGACTTTTACCCTGTTTCACCCTTAATTAGAGAATAGTTAGAATAAAACCAGAAAGCTCAAATTTACATCAGCTGACTTCCCCCTAGGGAAAAGGAAGGGAATGGGATGCAAAATTAATGTTTTCTTTTAAAGATCTGAATAATGCATAAAGTTGAACCAAGTACTTAAGTTTCTTTTCTATATCTTTGCTTATTTCCCCAATCTCCTTTCTTATCTTATGATTTCATGCTTTCCTCTTTTTTTTCCTTAGGTTAGTTACTAGTTTATGCTTTTCAAAGAATCAGTTCTTAGATTTACTTACAAGTTCTACTATTTTCAAATCTCAAATTTGTTAATTTTGTAATTGATCTCTATTTTACTTTCCTTAGATTTATTTTGTTTCTCTTTTAAATTTTTAAATTCAGTGTTTAATTTACATACTTTAATTTTTCTTAGCTCATTAGCGGTCTATTGCTAATTGTTGCTAATAAATTACCCTAAAACTTGGTGACTTAAAGCAACATACATTTAGCCCCTGGCCGGGTAGCTCAGTTGGTTAGCATCGTCCCAATACACCAAGATTGTGGGTTCAATCTAGGGTCAAGGCACATACAAGAATCAACCAATGAACCAATGAATGCATAAGTAAATGGAACAAGTCAATGTCTCTCTCTCTCTCTCTCTCTCTCTCTCTCAAAATCAATTAAAAAACAAACATACATTTATTATCTCACAGTTTCTGTGTGGCCTCTCTATTTCAGGAGCTATCACAAGGTGTCAATCAAGGTGTTGGCCAAAGACTCCAGGTTCAATTGGGATAGAACCACCTTCAAGCTCACTCAGTGGTGTTGGTAGGATTCAGTTCCTTGTTGGCTGTTGGTCTGAGGTTTGCTGTCAGTTCCTTGACAAGCAGTCTTCTCCATCAGAGCAGGCATGACAGAAGAGCCACAGACAAAAAGTACCAGTAAGATGAAAGTCACAGAAGGAAACCAAAATATGTCCCCCCAAAATATGGCCCTTTGATATAAAAATTATTTTGAACTGAAGGCAATTGAAAAGAAACAAATACTAGAAAATCCCCCTGCCCTCCCTGTATTTGCCTAAAAGTAGGACATAAATATTCAAAGGTGTCCCTCTTTTTCTCTCTATCAGGAAGGACAAAAGTGTATCAGTTCATACTTGTGTATCAGCCTGGAGATGGCTCCTACATAAGAAACTTTACTAACTAGTCTTTCTCTTCCATTAGTTTCCTATATATTTACCTTCCCATCCTTGGAAGACTAAAATGACTTTTCTTTGTCCTATCATTCCTCTACAAATTTATAGCTCTTCCTGGAAGGTAAATCCTCTCTCTCTTTTTAAAAAATAGTTTATTGGTTTTTAGAGGGAGAGAAAGAAACATCGATGTGAGAGCTAACACCAATTGGCTGCCCCCTGCACACCCCCTACTGAAACAAAATTTTTGGACTAGAACCCAGATTCTTCGTCTACCGGAATCGAAGAATGAATCCACGGACAGAAGATGGTATAGCAAAGGTGGAAATTTATTAAAGAACAAGTACAGACTCGCACGTAGGGAGGGGGAAGAGTCCCACAGAACGAACTCCCACGTGGGGAGGGGGAAAGGGTCCCACTGAGTTTCTTTTTCCTACGGCTTATAAAGGCTGCAGATCCTGGTGCCTTGATATCCCCTCTGATTGGTCACTACTCCCTTAGACTGGTTACTATAGTAACTCCTAGGCTCAAAGGTCGAACCTCACATGGGATATGTGAAGTACTCCCTCCCCTATCCCCTCCACACTCCTCCTTTCTAATTATTTTCCTATTCCCTTTGGGCTTTCTTCTTCTCCTTCTGGATGAAGGGCTTCCTTCTCTTTATTTTGTAAATATAGACCTATTGCTGTCTCTAGCTCCTTCATTATATGGAAATATACCTGTTGCAGCTTTTCAGCTTTCCTATTCTATGGAAATATACCTTCTGCAGCCCTGTGCTTCCTCCATGGTCCCCTTAATTTCCAAAAATGTTAAAATTTCCTAAAACCTGTCTTTTTCACCCCTCAAAATTCCTATTCCACTACCAGGGATCAAGCCTACAACCCAGGCATGTAGTTGCCCTTGACTGGGAATTGAACCGGCAACCTTTTGGTGCACGGGACAACACCCAACCAACTGAACCACATTAGCCAGGGCCTAAGCCATGTCTTTGACTAACTCTTTTCCTGAGTCTTTCCCATGTACATATGAGATATTCACATGAATAACTCGGTTTGTTTTTCTTTTGTTAAACTGTGCCTATATTACAGAGGCTCCTGCTGAGAATTTAGAAACAAAAGGTGTTTTTTCCTCTCCTACAGTAGCCTCATGAGAGAAGTTTCAATCCATCACTGTTGCCATATTCTATTCATTAGAAGTGAATCATTAAGGGGAAAAGATTGCCCAAGGGTGTAAATACCAGGAAGCAGGGATCACTAGGAGCCATGTGCGAATTGTCTGCCACACTTATAAACAGTGATCCTCAGATGTTCTAGCAGTCATTCAGCCTTGCACAGAATGGCAAAAAGTTGAGTTGGCTGATGTGCCTGTTGTTCCCAGCTGAGACTGAATAAGGGACAATCTGCCTTCTTATTTTAGCTCTCATACAATAAATAAATGCCCTTTCCAAGATCTATTTGGTGGCACATTGTCCACATGTTTGTGTTTTTTGCTGGTGATTTTTCTGTTTATGCCTCCCCCTCCCCCAACACACATACACATTAAGTGCTAAGTATTGCCTATTGTTCCTACATGAAAGAAGGTTGAGATGAATCTCAAGGAGAAAATACATGTGCTAGAAGAGCTTCATTTGGCATGAGTTATAGCATTGTTGGACATAAATTCAATGTTAATCAATCCACAATATATCTTCTACAATAATAAAAGCATAATATGCTAATTAGACTGGGCAGCCAAACGACCTTCCGGATGTCCTTCCGGACGACCTTAGGGATGAAGCTGGGGCTGGGAGGGCTGAGGCAGGCAGTCTGCGAGGGCCGAGCCCCTTGCACAAATTTCATGCATCGGGACTCTAGTCTATAATAATAAAAGCATAATATGCTAATTAGACCAGACATCCTTCCCGGACGACCTTCCGAATGAAGCCTGGGTCCCAGGTGCCAGAGGGAAGCCGGTGCCGGCAGCCGGGGGAAGGAAGGCCAACTCTTGCACAAATTTCGTGCATCGGGCCTCTAGTATTAAATAAGATCTCAGAATTCTGATACATAGAGTATGTTTGTTGTTAACCTATATAATCTGTCACCTCCAAGCCCAGAAAGAATTACTTTCCAAGTACCTTGAGTCCTATGTGCCAGTGGTTGTGAAACCTCCATGCTGAGCTTTGTGAAGTGGGCCTAGAACTCTACAAACTACATTGCTTCTTTGTCAGCTGGCTGCTGTTAGGTTCTGCCAACAGGAGACACTAGAGGGAGACTTGAAGGCAGAAGGAGGAAGCTGGAACTTTGGCCAGCAATGCCTCTTTGCCCTGGCAGGGCCAACAGCAGATGGTCATAGTCTCCAGCTTCTTTTCCACGCTCCCTAAGCCGCTCCCTAAGCCACTCCCATTGAGTCTCTGTGCTGCCATAGTGCCTCTCCTAGAGTGAGGTAGCTGCTACCTGCAGGCATTACCTCGGAGTCACCACCTTGTCCCTTTGCTTTTCAGTCCTTTACTGTCTGAAGCACTAAATTTAATTTCCAAATTAAATTCTCTCTATAGAATTACCTACTACAGTTTCTATTTTCCTGGACCCTAACTGATATATAGAAATTCTTTAACTTTTTATTTTGAAATGATTTTAAACTTCTAAGAATAGTACAGAGAAATTTTGGATACCTTTTATACCCCTTAACTCAAGTCCATCCTTTGTTTTTCATTGAGGTGAAATTCACATAATATAAAATTAACCATTTTTAAAGTGAACAAGTTAGTGTCAATAGTACATTCACAATGAATTCATCAAATGTTGACATTTTGCCACATTTGCTTTATAATTCACTATCTATATGTATACATATACTAGAGGCCCGGTACACAAAAATTTGTGCACT